CATGGTGCGCCCCCGCGCCGCGCGGGGCCGAGGGCGGGCCGGACGCACGGCTTCCCGAGCCCCTCTCCCGCGGGCTCCAGGCTCCGGGACCCAGCGCGCGCAGCCAGCCGCCTGGCTATTTAAGGAAGCGCCGCCGCGGGGCGTGTGAATCCGGCTCCGCGCTCTTTCCCACACTCGCGCCAGCCAATGAGCCGCCGGCGCCGGGCAGCCCGCCCCCGGCCGCAGCCCCCGCCGGCTGTCAGTCACGCGTCCCCTCCCGGCCCACCGACCCCGCAGGCGACAAAGGCGAGCCGGGGCACCCCGCCCGCGCCCGCCTCTGGCGGCGCCGGGCCGAGGCGGGGAAGTCGCCGCGCCCGCTCCCCCGTTCCGACCCTCTCCGGGAGGGCGGAGGCGCGAGGCTCACCTTCCGGGCGAGCTGGGGCCGCGGGAAATCTGAAAGGAAAACTCGCGAGGGGAACCGGGTGAGGCGCCCCCGAGGAGCCGGCGAGCCTCGGCCCGCGCGCCTCTGCTCTCCGCGGACCCAGCCGGGCCCTCGGGCCTCCGCGCGGCCTGCGAATCTGACCCCCGCCGGCTGCAGCACCTGCACGAGGCCCGTGACACAGTGGACGTGGAACACCAGCCGCTGGGCAGGAGAGAGGCTGGCTGGCCAAGGTCGTGGACAGGCAGAGTGGCATCACAGGACCAGTGAAGGGGTTGCCACAAGGCGGGCGGAGTCACGTCATCAGTCAGGCAGGATGACGTCATGGAACAGAATGTAAGGCTGTCACTGGTCAGGCTGGTGACGTCTCAGGGTTAAGGTCGATGATGACACAAGCCAGATGGGGTGATGTCATGGTCGCTGGTGATGTCACTGTCTTCCAGATTACCCAACAGTGAGCCAAGCACCAGCAAAGTAGGGCTCACAAAAAATGAGGGACACTTGCTAAAATTTTGTTTGTTAGTTCAAAGTGGCATTGTGGGGAAAAAAGAGGGCTAAGCTTATTTTCGCCTTTGATGTTTTCATTCTGAATTTTCTTGCGCCAGCACTCTGGTCTTTTGAGTACTGAGGGTTCCAGCCCACTGTGGCCTGGCAGCCGTCTTGTCGGCATCGCACAGATGTCTCCTGAGGCCCACGGTAGACCCGGCCTGCCCTTGGGGCTGAGGAAGCGTCTCCCGGGCTCTAATCCGACGCGGGCGGGGGGCGACGGCAAACAAGCAAAGTTATGTCGCAGTTGCCAGAGACAGAAAGAAATGGGTAGGTTGCTGGGGGAGAGGAAACCCCTCTTTCGACTGGGTGGTCCGGACGGCTTCTTTGCGGTGGGTTCCAGGAAAGAAGGCCCGGGGAGGAAGTGGCATACCCAGGGTGGAAAGGGACCACAGGCCCGAGGGAGGAGGGGCAGGGGCAGGTGGGTGCGGGGCCTAGGAGGGTCGTGCTGGGCTTTTCGGAGCAGCGGAGTGGGCCGACTGGCAGCTCGGAAGGGTCACCTCGGTGCTAGGCGTACCTAGTGGGTGGGGTCGCCGGCTGGCCCCTTACCCAACACCAGTTCCCGGGGTCCCAGCCCGGGGTCACGGTGTAGACGCCTTTTCTCCTTTCTGAGGCCAACCTAGTCTGGCCCTAGCCTCGCCCTCTGGAACCTCCCAATCCCACCCCCGGCGCGAAACCGACCTCTCAGCGGTCTGCGGGGGCGCCCGGGGCGGGGCGGGAGGCGGCTACACTGGGTGTGTCTGTGGGCTGTCGCCCCCGAGGCCAGGCCCCAGAGGCGCAGCCCCGGAGGAGCGTGCGGGGCGGGGAGCGTTGGGAAGCCGCGGGCGTCGGGCAGGAGCGGGCGGTGGGGACCCACCCAGCGCAGAAAGCCCTGGGAGCGCTGACTGCCCCGGCGCCGGGGTGGCAGGGACCAGCCCTGCGGTGGATGAGGCCGCGGGGGTCGCAGAGTCCCCACCCCGCCCCCACCCCCGCCGGCGGGCTGCGCGCAGGAGAGAAAGCCCGCGAGTGCCCCGCTGGGAAGCGTCGGCGGAACCCCAGGCCGGCAGGCGGGGCGCTGGGACCCGGTCTGGGTGGGCTCAGACCCCACCCCCAGGAGACCACACAGGCAGGGGGTTCAGACCGCAAGGAGAGGCTCGAGGAGCCATGTTTGACCATTCTTTACCTGCTAGTGGTTAGACAGGTTCGCTTACCCTCCGGTACCTGGTTCCTCATCTGTAAAATGGGCTATCTTTTCATTTATCCCTGGGTTGTTGGGAAGATAAACGAGCTCCTATTCTGAAAACACGCAGCACATGTCAGCTTCAGTTGTTACTGCCTGGGGGAAGGAAGCAGACGCAGGCAGGGAGGAGCCACCTGGACTCACCTCGGCCATGTGCCCCTCTGCGCCCTCTGAGACGCCCCCTCCCCACCCAGGGTCTCCAGGGGCCTGTGTCTTGGCCTCCCAGCCCCAGCGCCAACAAGGAGCCTTCACTAGCCCAGAACAAAGTGAGTTTCCCTGGTGTTGTCACCCACACCGTCTGTGTGGTCATGTCTCTGGGCCCTCGTACCTCTGGCTGTCCCCCCACCCCGCCTTTTACATCTGGACTTGATCTCTGGTAGGGCCACCGGGTCTCCTGGGGGTCGTAGGGGCTCCCTTGCTCTGAGCAAGGAGGGAGAGTCCTGGGCTGCAGTTGGGAAATAGTGCTGAGGAATACTGTGGAATATTGCATTTTCCGAAGATGGCTACAACAACATCTCCCACTCCAAATACCCTTATGGTGCACCTTGGTGAGATTTTGTGATGACATCGACCAGCAAAGACAGGGGCAGGGGTGAGATGTGAATTCTGAGGCTGGACCTTAAAAATGCCACACACGTTCACCTTGCTGTCTTGGGAAACCCGCTCTTGGAACCCGTTTGCCCCTCTGTGAGGAAGCCCAAACTGGCCCCATGGAGAGGCCCCAAGGGGAGGCCATTGAGCCAGGAACCCAGAAATCTCAGCTCCTGGACAGGTGATCCCAACCTGCTGCTTCAGAGCCCCCACCTCATGCCTTCCCAGCTGCTCCTGGGTGATTTGTTCCAATTCTTGATTCACAGAATAGGACAGTTGTTACTGTGACCTTTGGGGGTCATTTGTTACACAACAGTAGTAACTGGAATAACTAAGATGGCCCAAGCCCTGGATCTGGTCCTCCCCCTCCCCCACCCCCACCCCACTCCCCATCTTGTTCCTTCCTTTCTCTGGCAGGAAGAGAGGCGCAGGAGCCTGCCGCCCTGGCTGTCCATCTGACGAGTTTGAGTTGATTTTTGCAAGCCATCAAAGGCCTAGATCCAGGCTTGAGTGGGCCAAGCCCCGTTGGCTGGTGGTCCCAGGGGCGTCTCCAGGGCCCACTGGTGGCCACCGGGTATGGGGAGCAGGGGGCTGAGGCAGGAAAGTCAGTGGGGGAGTCTGTGTGGAAAGACGGGTGTATTTTCCAGGCCAGACACTGGGCTCCAGCCTTGGGTTGCGGGGGGAGGGATGGTCCTCTGCCTACCGTGACAGCGTTCCACACAACATCATTCAGACAGTGTCCCTTGGGGGTCTGCCACGTGCGATCTGTGAACACGTCGCTCCCAACCTCCAACATGGGGGTGGCACCTGCCCCTCAGCATTCCACAGGCATATGAGCCCCAGAACATCAGAGACATCACAGACCACCCGTTCCGGCTCCCCTTACCTTCCTGTTCCTTCCTCTTCTGCCAAGAGGCAGCGAGCGGCCTGTGGACTCAGGCAGCCAGGACCAGAGTTGCCAAGTAACCAGGCTAGAACCGTTGCAGGTCCTGTCCTGCAGCACGGGAGTTGGTCGCTGGGATGATAAAGTGGCAGAGGCCAGGGCTGGAGGAATCCAGCCTTCAGGCTAGAGATGAGGGCAGCAGACACCCAGGACCCAGGCAGAAGCCAGGAGCACCAGGATGCCGACAACGAGGCTTGAGGTTCAAGGGCAGTCCCCACCCCTGTGACTGAGGGCGCGTCTTCCACCCTTACAGGTCATGAGACCTACGTACCTTCCCTCGGCCACCTGATGCCAGGTAGTGGGAGCATCCTCCCAACACCCGATGCATTACGGTACCTTCCCCGTGATCTGGGCACTGTCAACATCTTTCTCCTGAATTGGGCGTTGACACCTCTCCACATTTGGGGAGCCATGTCCCCCAACTTCGGGGTGGTGACAGAATCTCCTGCCAACCCCTATCTGCCTGGCATGCTGCCTCCCTGTGGGCCCCCGTGGGTGCTGCTTTTCTCTCCACTCTCCTTGGGCCGGTGCTCCTGGGGGGAGGTGAGCTTCCCTGTCCTTCCTGCTTGGCGCGTCCAGACCGGTGTCTTCTTTGGCAAAAAAGCCCCAGCTTTGAAACCTCACCTTATGAACAGACCACCCGTTGCTTAACAGACCACACAGACTACAGTCAACCGAAACCGTGGGGTCGACCCCGCCCTTCCTGAAGGGCTTACTCCTGGTTCCCTGTCACCTTCTCCAGACACTCCTGTCACTGTTTCTGGTGATTTCAAAATCCACACGGATGAGCCTCCAACTTTCTGGACTTCCTCGCCTCCATGGGGTGTCCTGGTGTAGCGTCAATAACTAAGCTCTAAGCTCCACATCCCAGGTGCTGGGTGTTGACTGTAGCTCTCAGGTTCCCACCCACCCTGGAGGCCCCACCCACCGGAAGCCCCGCCCACAGGGGCACAAGTCGGGGCTGGAGCCTGAGGCGGAAGGTCCAGCGCCCTTCGGCTGCTGTTCCAACAGCGTCGCCTGGGGTCCTGCCTCCTCCCTCCACATCCCCAGCCCTTTCAGGTCCTGTCTCCCGCCCCCCGTGCCTCAGCAGGGCCCCAGCTTCTCCTCGTGCCTTTCAGTCCTCTGGTACTTGCGGAACAAGTCTTCACGCTAACTTTTCTGTCCAGACAGCTGGAGAGGTCTCTGCCTGGTGAGGGAGCCTGACTGGGGCTCCAGCCTCCTCCGCATCTGACCCTCTCAGAGCTCTCAGACCAACATTCTGCCATCATCCTGACCCTTGGAGTCCACTCGCAATGCTTCCCCATCAGGTCCTCCAGCAGCTCTGTCTCCCTGATGTATCCAAACGCCCACTTCTGACCTCTTGCGCTCTCACCACCGGCTGCAAGCCTCCACCACCTTCGGCCTGGATTTTTGCAGAAGCTCTTTGCCATGGCAAGGAGGCCAGTGTTGGAGCCAAGCACTTGGTGGGGGGAGGCGGGCAGGAGAGGAGATGAGAGGGCCAGCAGAGTGGCCAGATGAAGCCTAAGCTCCTAAGCCTAAGCATATACGTCCCAGAAGCAATACCACTGGGATGTATATGCAGTAGCCTGGGCGAGAGGTGATTGTGCCCTGGACCAGGGTGCACAGGTGTACATGGTGAGGACTGCGAACTTCTTGGGAGGGTTTTTTGCTGTTACTCCTGCTGTTAGATCACTGAAGGGCTTAAAAATAAGAGCAAGTGTGTTAAACATGATATAGATACCGTCTTAAAGGTTTAAGGAAGTTTAAGGTAGTTTGTAAATGAAACCAAATATTAACCAAAGGCCCCTTTATAAGTGGCTGTTGTAATTTCATAAATAGGATATTCAGGCAGGTTTGTGACTAGAACTTATATATTTTGTGGTCATGTTATTAGGTGCATACAAAATTTAAATCTTTTTTTTTTTTTTTTTTTTTTTTTACAAATAAACTCAACCTTTTATTGCTATGCAACCTTCTGTATCTAATGATGCTTTGACTATAAGTGTAAGGCCAACTGGCCCGAGGCAGGGGAACGCAATCAGACTCACAGGTTGTATCACACCGAAACTTTCCGGACCAGCCAGTTCCAGGAACTGACCTGGGGACTTTCCACCCGGCCCAGCCTTCCCGCCTTTCGAGGGGCGGGACTAACTATCCCAAGACTGATGCAACCAGCACCGGATATTCCCACGATACCCGAAGAGACCACCAGATAAGGAATACCCTGCGCCCTCCCGGATTCACCACGCCCCTTTCCCTTTTTCCCCTATAAATTCTGTCCAATCCCTCGCCCGGGCGCGACTTCTCTGGACCCTTTCTGTCCGACCAGCGAACCTCGCCCGGGCGCGCTCCCTAATAAAGCTCGCTTAAGCTCTCTTCCGTTTCTTGGTGCCGTTCCTTTTACAATAAGATTTCTTTGTTAATCTGTTAATAAAATTGTTAATGTAGCCACATTGGCTTCCTTTTAGTTAACATTTACCTGGTAGGTTTATTTTCATCCTTTTACTGTCAGTTTCCCATATCCTTATATTTCAGATGATTCGTGTCTTCTGTAAGCCACATAAAGTCAGATTATTTTTAACCAGGCTGACAACCCTGGTCATTTAGTCCCCCTGGATTTCAGACCTCTGCTCTGTAGAACTATGAGGGAATACATTTTTGTTGTTTTAAGCCACCGGTTTGTGGTGACTTAAAAGCCACCAAGACACGGAGACACGTGCTTCCAGGTGCTATCACTTTGTCTGCCTAAAGCCTTTGTGTTTAGTTCCTCTTGTCAAAAGCAGGTGACAGGGCTTCCCTGGTGGCACAGTGGTTGAGTCCGCCTGCCGATGCAGGGGACACGGGTTCGTGCCCCGGTCCGGGAAGATCCCACATGCCGTGGAGCGGCTAGGCCCGTGAGCCATGGCCGCTGAGCCGGCGCGTCCGGAGCCTGTGCTCCGCAACGGGAGAGCCCACAGCAGTGAGAGGCCCGTGTACTGCCAAAAAAAAAAAAAAAAAAAAAAAAAGCAGGTGACATTCAATGAAGTAACTAAAAGAAAATAAAGATTCTATTACTGTATGTCAGTATTAAGAAATTAGGAGACATATGCCATGTTTTTGTTTTCTCTTTTTAAATTTTTAATTTCTTTTAAAAAATTTTAAATTGTTGTATCTTTGCCATGTTTAATAATGGTCATCTGGGGACTTCCCTGGCGGTCCAGTGGTTAAGACTCCTAGCTCCCAATGCAGGGGACATGGGTTTGATCCCTGGTCGGGAAACTAAGATCCCGCATGCCCCACCGCATGGCCAAAAACAAAAACAAAAACAAAATAATGGTCATCTGAAGGAGATTGAGAGATTTTCATATTCTGTATTCTTTGTTATGTTTCTGGTTTTCTTTTTATACTACTAATATTATTTATGCAAGGAATGAGTCAAGATACAAACAAAATAATATAAAGAAACAATTTTTTTAACTTTTGTGCATGTTAACAACTTTGGTGCCATATGAAATTATTTTGGGGGAGGGGAGCTGGAATGATTAATTCATATGCAAAAGAATTTGTTTTTTTTCCAGTCTTTTACTTTTTTATTTAAATTTTTATTTATTTGATTTTTTTTTTTTTTTTTTTTTTTTTTTTTTGCGGTACGCGGGCCTCTCACTGTTGTGGCCTCTCCCGTTGCGGAGCACAGGCTCCGGACGCGCAGGCTCAGCGGCCATGGCTCACGGGCCCAGCCGCTCCGTGGCATGTGGGATCCTCCCGGACCAGGGCACGAAACCCTGTCCCCTGCATCGGCAGGCGGACTCTCAACCACTGCACCACCAGGGAAGCCCTATTTATTTGATTTTTAATGTATTTAAAAGTATTTTTAAGTATTTATTTTTATTTATTTATTTATTTACTTACTTATTTATTTTTGCTGTGCCATGAAGCATATGAGATCTTAATTCCCTGACCAGGGACTGAACCCATGCCCCCTGCAGTGGAAGCCTGAAGGTACTAACCAGTGGACCACCAGGGAATTCCCTAAGTATTAATTTTTACTTTTAGCTAACATATGCCTGTGATGTGCTGTTTGTGATAGTAAAAACTTGGGAATAACCTACATATTCAACAACACAGGACTGGTTAACTAAATTACACTCTATTCTATAATGGACTCATTATACTATGGGCAACATATACAGCCATGAAAACAACTTGCATAAAAGTATCTATTCGTATGGAAAAATGTGTGTGATATACCTTGTGAATGGAGCACTTTACCAAATGGTGAGAGTAGCACGAGGGCTTCTTGTTTTTCAGTTTTCTTTTTTATTGAGGTGAAGTTCATCTTCCCTGTGCCACCAGGGAAGCCCTAATTATTTTTTTCTTTAACATTTTTTTGGCTGCGTTGGGTCGTTGTTGCTGCGCGCGGGTTTTCTCTCTAGTTGCGGCGAGCAGGGGCTACTCTTTGTTGCGGTGCGCGGGCTTCTCATTGTGGTGGCTTCTCTTGTTGCGGAGCACTGGCTGTAGGCACGTGGGCTCAGTAGTTGTGGCACACAGGCTTAGTTGCCCCTCGGCATGTGGGATCTTCCCCGGAACAGGGCTCAAACCCATGTCCCCCGCATCGGCATGTGGATTCTTAACCACTGCACCACCAGGGAAATCCCTTGCGGACATTTCGTATCAGTAGAATCACACAATATGTGACTTTTTCTGTCTGGCTTCTTCCACTGAGCATCATGTTTTCAAGGTTCATTCACATTGTAGCCTGCGTCAGTGCTTCATTCCTTTTTATGGCTAATGTTCCATTACAAGGATGGACCACACTTTGTCTCTGCATCCACCTGCTGATGGGTTTGTTTGCTCCCCGAGTTTCTACCATTCATCTCCTGTGAATAGAGCTACTGTTAACATTTGTGTGCAAGCATTTCTCTGAACACCTGTTTGCAGTTCTCTCGGGCATATCCCTAGGAGTGGAATTGCTGGGTCATGTGAAAATTCTGTTTAACCTTTTGAGGAGTGACTAGACTGTTTTCCACAGTGACTGCACCATTTCACATTCCCATCAGCAATGTATGAGGGTTCCATTTTTTCTACATCTTCACCAACACTTGTTATTATTCCCTTTTTAATTATTATAGTTGTGCTAACAGGTGTGACATAGTATCTCACTGTGGGTTTTTTTTTTTTTTTTTTGGGG